ATAATTCAAATTTTAGAACTATACATTACTCAATTTGTTAATTTAAAAGTTGGGATGAGACAAGTGATCTGCAATTAAATTTATCACTCATTTCTCAATCAGTACTGCCATCTATCAGCACAAATGTTTTGCTCGCCCAAGCCTTGTAACTCCCACTTCTTTCTGCAAATTATCATGCAGCAACCCTCCACCAATATGAGTGCAACACTACCCCTAACGTAACTAGTGCCCTCTCTAATAATGCACCTGTTAATCACCTCGAGATTGGCCATGACCAAGTCAACCAATACACTGGAAGTGAAAGGGATGGGTGGGAAATGTGAGAGGAGGTAAGTATATTTAGTCTGAAATACATTTTCAGTTTAGGAAAATGTTAGTTTCCAATACAATATCTTACCTCCACTCACAAAAAGCTAAAAAACCAAACTAAACTGGTGGAGTGCCGGTGTGAATGTGATCCTCCTTGAGAAAGTGCCCAAAGAAAGATGATGAGGAATGAAAAACATCACACCAGTGGGAGACTGCACTACTTCTGAGCCAGGTATACTCCTCGCCCTACAGGAATGTGTTCCCAAAACTGAAACATGGATGGTCCCTAAGATCTTATCAGCAGTAAAGTTGTTGAGTGACTAGGGCAAGACTGACTGTAAATGAGAGTTCAACATAACCAACACCTGGCAGCATCTGGAATTATACATCAGGTCCCCGGTAGGAAGAAGGTCCTCTACCTTTCATCTCAAAAATGGATACTGAACGGGAATATGAGCATCCTCACCAAGAACCTGACTCCACATATGTGCACCTCCAACACAACCAACAATGTATCCTCCAGGAACCAACATCTAGTAGATGGTAGAATGTAAGGAGAGCTCAGGAGGTTTTCATCTTCAGTACAAAACCTAGCAGCAATGGAAAAGTCATGTCCAGTCCATGGTAGGAACTGGGAAGCCAGCCTTACACATGTAGGTAATCATGTGTTTCGTCCAGCTTCAAATAACACCAGATCTACTGGGAATCAACATCCAATGGACAGTAGGAAGATGAAGAGGGACATCAATTTGGGGTAACATCTCCAGTCCCAAACTTGGTGACATTGGGAATTTACTATCCAGTCTGCAGTAGGAGGAGGGAACTAGCCAAACACATTTGATAGCTGATGTGGCTGGACCATCTCCAAACAACACCTGGTGGCATCTGGAAATGTACATCAAATTCACAGTTGGAAGGGTTTCATGCCTCCTCCCTACTCTCAACTCAGTGGTTTTGTACTTCACTCAGCAGCTAGGAACTGGTAAGTGGCAAGGACTCTCATACTCCACTAGAAGAAGGAGGGGGAATGCGTGTGAGAGTCCAAAAGACACAGCATTGGAGACAGTGCAATCGGTAACCATGATACCCTAGTTTGAAAAGCAGAGCTACAATGTAGATGGAGTCAATCAACCAACACCTGATGGCATCTGGAATTATACATCAGGTCCATGGTAGAAAGAGCCTCAACACCACTAAGCATCAGAGATGGGTGGTAATCCCTGTCTGCTATACCCATGTAAGTCCATGAATGTACAGTCCAAGACAAATATATTTATGAAGCAAAAGACCATAAGATATATCTATGATTGGTCTTATAGAACACCCCATCTCAACGGTGTGCATAACATAATCCTGTGACGTGTTATAATGGCTCAAATATAATATTTGACATCAGTGTATAGATGACCAATGGATAGTCAATCAACCAACAGCTGGAGACATCTGGAAATGTACATCAGGTCTGCAGTAGAAAGTGCCCCAACATCATATTCATCTAGAATAGTCACAGGGCATACAATGCAGATTTGATACTAAGTATACCTAGTCAGGCACCACTTGCCACAGAGATGGATTCATAATGTATGAGCAAGAGTTCCCTGTAAAGGAAAAATAAAATGAGTACTTACAAGTCACAAAGAAATAAAAGTGTGTAAAATGTTGATTGGAGGTAAATGGAAACCCACAGAGCATGAAACACACACATGATGTAGGTAGTGAGATGTAAAGGTATGCAGGGTAGTCCGGATATCTGCAAAAATGATGTCCTTCAAAGGAAGACAGAAATGAGCAGCTAGGGAATGACAAGGAAGTGATATTCAGAGCCGATAAATCGATCACTGGGCACCAGTCTCCTGTCTTTTTGAGAACAACAAACAGACAAGAAGGATCTCCTCATTCAATGGCACCCTTCCAAAGTAATTCTTGAACCACCTCTGAAGGGAAAAAGACATGAAAAGAGTGACAATCAACCAGAGAAAGGGAAAAATACAATAATCAAATTATCTGGTGAATCCAATCCATAATGGTAATGGGAGAAAGATCACATGAAACAGCAGGACTCCAATGAATAAACAAATGGACATGGGAACCACGGAAGGGAGCAGTGTATGACATATACCATCAAAGAGTCCTGACTGGGCATAGGAGGTAATCAGGATTTGAACTGTCAGAAAGATGGGAGATGGAGAGGAGGGAAATGGGAGTGAAAGTGGAATTGCTCTCCCTGGCAGCTGAAGTCTTGGGTAGAAAGGAATAGTCAGGAAAGAGAAGAACATAGGAATGATGGAACAATAAACAGCAAACATCGATCACAAAAACATCAGAACAACAATGACCATATGCCAACAACAAAAGGAACAAAGACTTCAATGAAAGGTGATATAATGAGAAAGATGATAAAGGTTCAAACAAAGGACAAGAAAGGGCATGAAGGACAACATCAAGGACAAGTTCCAATCGGGAAGAGAAGCAGGGCAGGGAGAATGAACAAAATAACATAGATAGGATAGGAGATTAAAACACAGACGCAAATTTGGTAAATCAAAAAGTGGAAGAAAAAGTCACCCTGTAACTCACAAAAAAAACAACAACAAGAGGCCCCTGTCATAATAACGAGTGAAAAACAATGACAAATGAGGAAAGGTAGGTCAAGTAGGATGGTAACCCCAGTATAATGAACAATAGTGGTATGTATTCCATTACACTGATAAACCTTCAACTAGGATGGTTGAGTAGGACAGGAAATAAAGGAGGCAACATGCCTGGAAAGTCTAGACAAAAGCCATGCGTGAAGATGGAGTGCAGGTAGAGAAGGATGACACACACCAGAGTGTGGCTGACAAAGGAGCATGGGATACAAAGGGAAAGAAACTAGTGGTGACACCAGTAACTGTTGTGGAAGTGTAAACCATGTCTGAGCCAGCCAATAAGAGGCCACCAACAAAATCTGTCAAAGAGTGGTCAGAACTATTGAAAGGACAGGAAGACAAAGCCAAATAGGAGGATAAGCACATATGTAACAATCAGTCCAACTCTGGCTGAGAGCATCCACTGCATCTCGTTGTGGATAAGGAACAGGCAACCAAAAATGGGGAAGTTTTTTTGTTGAGAAGAGATGCAAATGTGTCCAAATTGGACACCCAAATAACTCAAGGAGCACAAAACTCCCAAAAAATTAAAAGACCTAAAGACTACTCCATTGGTAGAATCTTGTCAGATTGGGATAACTGATCCATGACCAGATTCAAGGCAACCAAAATATGGCATGCCAGCAAAGTAATGTGATAGCTGTAAGCCCAACAAAGGAGATCCAATGTCCGAAAATAAAGATACCTTGACCAGGTGCCCCTTTTCTTGGAGTTATAGGACACCACCATAGAATTTTCTGAGTGAATTATCACCACCTGTCCCAGAAGAGACAGCAGGAAGTACCAAGATATTGAAATGGAGAGCAGAAGAGACAGCAGGAAGCACCAAAATATTGAAATGGAGAGCAAATTCTGTAAGAGTCCACCATCCCAAAACTTCCCGACCATCAGTCCATCAGTAAAGGAGAGGGAAGGGTAAGAGAAGCCTCCAAGGGATCCTGAACAAAGTTCCATTAGTCGATTAAAGACCACTGAAGATCTTACATGTAGGTAAAATGCACATGAATGATGGCCTTGAGAGAGGTCCATGTCCCCATAAGAGATAGAACCTCCCAAACAGAAGGAGATGGTAAGTTGAACCTTGCAAACAAGGTGTTCCATATCTGTCAACTGAAATGGAGAAGACTGGGCCTGACTTCACAAACATCTAATTTGAACCAGTGCTGCATTCAAAATACCACATTACACATAAAAATCAATGTTTATCTGTGTTTTTTAATATTTACTTTTAAATTAACAAATTTAGTAATGTACAATTCTAAAATTTGAATTACAATCTATAGTTTTATACCAAACTTATTGACATAAATTCATGAAATAGTAGTTCAATAAAATTTTGAATG